CAGTCGGACACCATACATTATCTCAAGTACAGTGATTGATCACACACAAATGCTTGTAATTTGAAGAAAACATTTTGCTTATAATATGATAAATTAAAGATATGGATAAACAAATATGTTGCCATGGGAAGAATTAATGAATCATATTACGCACCACGGTTCAAAGTTCTTAATTTTTAACTCATTGAACTTCAGCAAAACATACTTATCAGTGCAAGTTTGACAATACTCGCAATATTTTTTGTAAAATTTAGACATTTTTGTTTGATGATTTTATGGAGATTTTTTATGTTCTCTTTCATCTTTAATTCTGTGTAGTACCCACAATTTTGAACTACACCGCTACCGCAAATTTTCGTGTTTTTTTTCCTGTTTAAGAAAAAAGATGTAAAATTTTGACAAAGTGGTATGGGTAGCCTACTTTTTTAATCTTCGCGTAATCAATTCAAGCACTAATTCATAAATACTTTGAGAACTGGATGTCATGTTCACCAAGGGAATTCCGATGTGTGTTATTTCAAATTTTTAATTCATTCCACTCTCTTGAGTTAAGTAATCAATATTAGCGCACTAGTTGCTAACGCTGCCTTCTAAATTAGTTATTTATACAACTAGTGAGTAAAGTATATCTGCAAATCCGCTGAGTAAAAAAAAGCCACTTTACTCACGAGTCGCATACAACATTTTTTTCGCGTTCGTAACAAAACTCAACACCCACCAACTTCAAAAAATTTTGATTTTGGAACATAGATATTATATGTAGCCGTATTTGCCGTAATTAATACAAACCATTTGTGTTGATAAATTATCATAGCAACGGCAGGCTTCATGTTTTACTTCCGTTAAAAAATGACACGCTACGACACTTTTTTTCACTCAAATGCGTGAAAAAATGAAACGCTATGACACTTTTTTTCACGCTTCGAGTGCGATGAAATAAATGTATCCTTTATAAACAAAAATTAATAAAAAATTGTATTCATGACTTATCGCCTAATACGTGGGCATTACGACTCTTTTTTTATCATTTAGATACACACTAAAAATGTGTTCTGTTTTAAATGATATTTAAATTGAAGGGCTCGAAAATGTAAGAGCCCTTGACACTGCAGTACTCCCAACACTCTTAGCCAGTCTGTCCCTGATTTTACTTAAATACTGTATAATGCATAAAAAATGGTGTTTCTATATTTTGTCGAGTTATGATCTTGGAGGCCGCAAAAGATACGAGGCAAGTTAAATAAGCCAAAGGTTGAGCTATTTTGTACTGATCCACCAAGGAGTTAGAAATAACTGGTATTGTTTTGAAGGTATGTAAAAAAAAGGTGATGTTAAAAACATAAAATATGGGTTCTTTATTTTGGTATCTTTGCAAATTACTTAATTTGACAGAAAAAACAAAAAACTTAGAAAAGTCTACATTATACACAACACATTTCTGCATAAGTTAATATGTAGTTGAAAACAACTATTAAGCGTTTTGTTAATTAGAGAGTCTTACTAAAATACAAATTTTGTAAATTTTGTAGACTACGTTAGTGTTTAACACAAAACAAGATTCACTTACATATTTTTGAATTTTCAATTTTTGATGTACCAAACTGCATTAAAAGCAAATCTGTTAGCAAAAGAGTTATAAAATCATGGCAGAAATATTTGTAAACTTTAAATTTTCTGACAACCTTGTGCAGTACATAGGAGTAGGTACGTCAATATACTTGCTTAGTTTAAAACAAAATTTTCCTTATTTAAGCTACCTCATATTTTTCATGGCTTTAGCAATCACAATTGTGGCAACCGAAAATACATCACCATAATATTAAATACTTTGGGTTATTAGAACTATGTCTATGCGTATTATAATGAGCGAAAAAAAATCTCTTGTTACCAGTTGATCATCTTTTTTTCTTAAAAAGAATCAAGTAATGCTTGTTTGCGCTTCCAAGTTTACAACCTCACTTTTTTGACATATCGTGTCGATGTCAATGCCGATCAAGGTGGTAGAGCAGCTTTCAACAGGAAAAGGTACAGGGGCGGGGCTTAAGATGCGCCACTTGTAGTCGGGCTAGCAGTGGCGTAACATCGATGTATTGAGAAGGGAGTTTCGGCTGAGTTACATTTCTTTCAAAAACAATTAAAAATAGAGCAATTTCCACAAAAGAATACAGACAACCATTTAATAAAAATAAATTTATTTGTTTGGTAAAAAAATAGACTTACGTAACAATAAATTATGATAATCTATCACACAAAATTTGGTATTTTTAATTATTAAACGAGTTTATAATGTGTGGGATTATAGCATGAGTAAAAAATTTCACGAATCCCTCATTATAAACCAGTATCATATACTATTTTATAGTCGACTAGTCTTAAAGCAACAGTTAAATCTTTAGATAAAAGCGGGCTTAAAACTTTGAGAATAAGCAACCTATGACTATAATTATATGGTTTTTAATTTTCTGGCACAATTTATCGATATCGTAAAGTCGGATTATAATAAGGCTTAACGTTTTCTGTCTTTAACATTGAAGTAATAATCGCAGTTCGTATTCTAGCATTCGTTTATAACTAGAGCTTCGACTGTACCGTAATTTAATAGTAATTATTGCTCACTAAAAATTACCTTTTTACTTCTTTTACTTACTTTTTTATTCAACTCATACATCAAATACAGCACTAATAACACTGGTCAACAAAATTCAATTTTTTCTCTCTAACTTTGACATAATTGTAATGTTTTCGTTTAATTTGTCTCTGTGATTGCAACAAATGGCATAAACCTTATAACTTAGCTCAATTAAAAAGAAAAATGGATATTTGATGTTAAAAACAAAAAATCAGGTAAAACAATTTAATTTTTGTATCTTTAACAGCAAAAGGTGATGTATTAACAAAAAAACAACCATAATTAAGAAAAAAACAACGATTGTAGTTTAAAAAACGAAAAAAACAAAAGAAACAGCTAAGACCGACGTTTTTTCCGTTGCCTCCTATCGTATTTATTGGAGATCTCTCGCTTGATGGTTCCGCAGTATTCTGCGAGCATTTAGGTGTTCCATCGATCTTGGTAACGTTTTTCTATCGACAAAATGCCCAGATGGAAGCGTTATCTATGTCCGTTACTCACGTCGTCATAATTTTTGGGGAAAAAATCAAGATGCGAATACATAAAATTCACTTTTAAGAATATGTTAATTTTAAATTTTTTATATGATGATAACATGTTTTCTACTTACTAAACGTAGTTTTCTTATTGTTTCCCAAGAAGTTTGTAGCAATTTGATCACAAAAAATTACACCTTATAGAAAGTTTCCTATTACTTAATAGTACGATTTTTGTATTTTTCAAAGGATAATATTTTAAGATTACTTTTAAATGAGAGCTAACTTTTGGTTTAGCCGTTTATAATATCATTTAAAATTGTTAATTAAATAATAATTGGCTGCTATAATAAAAGTTAGAGCTTAGCTGTTGACCAGTGTAATTGTTTAAATTCTTTTTCTATAATGTCAACGCTAATAAAATAGAAAAGTGATATTTTTATTAACCGCAATAATATTTTAATATTTCAAAATCGAAATATTCATCGCCGCTGCCACTGCTTGCACGATATTTGTAAGGCCAAACCAAAACAATGTTCTGCGCACTCCCACCACCTGTACCCTTTTGTGCTGAAAGCTGCTCTACTATATGTTTTAGTGACAAATGCCGACCAACAAGTAACTAGAGGGTTTTTACCGTTCGCTAGGTATTATACATATGTAATTGTGTTTATCAACATTTAATATTCTAACAATTGTTCATCCTATGAAAACTAAATGTCAGTAAGTAGGAAATATACACTGCTTTGACAAACGATTTATCTTATAATTTTTAATACTACAAGAACGCCATCACAGAATAGACTAAACATTTATAAATAATCTAACAGCTGCAAAAATTATAAATAGTTCTATAGTCCTGGAATTGCCTCAGAATAAACTTTTTCATATTCCATCTTCAGCATGTCTGAATGTACAAATTACAGAATCTTTGTATAGCGGTATGTTTAATTTTTCCCATTTTCTCATGTAGTTGCCATAAAAACACTGACCCTAATATACAGGGTGATAAAAAAATGAAGGAGGAAAAGAAGGCTCTGAAGAACTCAAAAAAACTGGTTAAAAAAATCCTTGCACCAAACTTTTGAAAATATCAAACTTCAAAGTTGATGAATTAACTTTTAATTGTTTTAATGAACTGCATGTCTAATATACAGCTAAATAATTAGTCATTAATAATTTAATAATAATATGCTAGAATACGATCTACAACGTTTTGACAGCTTTTAGAGGGAATTTAGAATTCAGTTAAAACATATCAGAATTACGAAGTTAATTCTTCAACTTTGAAATACCATATTTTTCCAGTTATTTAGAGTGTTCTTAACAATAACGTACCATCGAGCTTATCAGTCATTTTTTGATCACCCAGTATAAAAATAAAGTTATAATTATTTTTTGCATGTTTTAGCTAGAGGTTTTTCAACTACTGTACATTTTCCCTCATGCACCTATATAGTGTGTGTCACATTAAACTCGAACCACATTATATTTTCAAAAGAAACTACTTACAATACTGAGATTCTATAAAAGGCTCCATTTTGATTCATATAATGATACACGGTGCATGTAACATATTTTTAATGTCAGAATCATGATACTAATTTGTTGTCAGAGATCCAGTATATCAAGTTCTGTTAATTTGCCATATACATGGCGTTGACAAAATATCAGTATGTACCCTAATTAGTTCCCTAAATACGTGTCCGCCGTATTTTATAGAAAACACGCCATTCAAGTATGGCTAGAATGAAGACTGCGACAATAACTTGCTATAAAAGCTGTCTACATAAATATCGGCTGTATTGCTTTTATAATAACATTTCAATTCATACTTTTGTTTGGACTGTAAGCTGACAATTGATAATAATAAATGTACATATTTTTGGCTTGGCATTTAAAAGTGGTACCTAAATATGAACTTATAGAACCACTCTAGCTATTTGTTTATGTTGGAGCTTTTTTTGTCTTTGTACTTGAAAAATTATAGTCTACTTCCATTTTCTTCTTTATTTGGCTCAACGGTTATCACTAAATATCCGTCAACATCATCGATTTCTTTGGAAACAAATTTGGCAGCAATTGTATGCTTTCCTGTTTTAGGAGGGGTAAACTTAAACTGTCCTTTAGCCGTTTCACCAGGCGGAACGTTGTTTTTTACTTTTATTTTAAGCTTTTTCTCAATTCCAGGTCCCTCGACTGTAAATTCACCTTTTTTGTACGGTACTGGTAAAGGATTTTCAACAAAAATATCAGCAATAACTTCCTTGTTTTCAATTGGTTTGTCTTGTAAAATAATTTTAATATCAGGTTTCCTCACTCTAAAATCATCTTGGGCATAGTATTCGTATTTCGTGTCCTCTACAGTCGCTAGACACGATATTATAAATGAACACTGATCAAGAAGTCGTTTAGAATATTCTGCATACGTTACGTTCATCTTAACTTCGTGGGTAGAATCAGCCTTCACTATTACATTATAATCTTGACTTTTCACGTTTTCACCTACCTTTCCTTGATAAGTAACGACTTCTACGCGCAAAATAACATTAATTTTATAATCTACAACTTTGTTTCGATTTTTCATTACTAAACCTACGTCAAATGGTTGGCCTATTTTAATATCGTCCCGTAGCTCAAAATTAAAATATACGTCATTAAAGTCTTCATTTAGGTAATACCTTGAGAAGGCGTTCTCTGATTGGCGCAAAGCTTTCAGCATAGTCGTTCTTTCTTCAGTAGATTTCTCGGGATATTTATAGTGGCTTGTGATATCTTCTCTTTCAAATCTATTTGGTGCTTTTGTACTGATTTGCTTTCCAACTCCGTACACATCTTTACGTAGAAGTTTCAAAGGTTGAGTTGGACCAGCGTACCGCCAAAATACCTACAAAAATAGATTTTTTAACTATGTTGTCATAAAACACCCACCTGTTAATCACAATGATTTTAAGTGACATTTTTTGAACCCACACACATACATTTATTTAATTAGGACAGTGACATCACCTAATTGAGTAAAAATTGCATTGGCGTAACTGAATTCTACAAAGAAATTTACCTTGTCTGCGTTTACTTCAGCATACAAGAAACCACCGTCATATGGTCTTAAAACTTCTCCTTGCTTGATAGCAAACACAGAAGTGGGACCAGCTCTATACATTTCTTCACTAAGTTCTTGAGGCGTAGCGTCGACGGCTTGCCATCCACCATAATCTCTACCTAAATCAGGTCTTTGCATCCAAACTTCGTTCCAAACGTGGAAATTCCAAATCGAGTCAGAATTCAGTTCGTCCATTATTGAACCCTTCTCGTCCATAAAATAATCCACTGTGAGAGAACTTTGCGTGTCGTGTGCCGACGAATAATTCGTAACTGTACGAGCAGGTATGCCAACAGCTCTAGAAACTAAAATGTTCGTTATTATTAGTCCAAAAGATCGTTGAAGTTACAGTACTTGTAGTAAGAACTCCAGAGAAGACCCAACACTGTCCATACTTCACAGGTTTCTTTTTCTTATAAAACTTTTGCAAAATTTCTTTACTGCCTAACCAATTCGTCGGCGCGGTTCCTCCACTGTGATCTTCTGACCAGTTACCCATGACGGCACCTAAATCGTCAGCGGAATTAACAGCAGCTGCTAGAGCTCGAGCTGTTCTGACGGGATCTCCTCTATAATTGCTTTTCACTTTCCCAATAACATGGATCAAATAGAGAGAACATTCAAGAATATCTTTTTCAAACTGGTCATATTTCCATATAACTGGGCGCATCCTGTTTGCTGTTCCTCTCCAAATAATTCCCACGTCATTTAATATTGTTTCTTCGCGCCAATCTTCTGTTTTCATGTAAACTTGATCTTGCTTGCACCAAGGATTAAACAAAATGTAAATTCCCGTGTCCCAGCTGTAACTATAGGCTCCATCATTAATTATTTTGGTATCAATTTCCATATGCCATTTGGCTACAACCGCATCTGAAGCGGTGGTAATTTGGATTGTCAACGTATTGTCTATCGCATTTTCGAGAACCACATTCCATGATAAGTGTCTATCGGGTCTTTTTAATAGTGGAACCGCAACTAAGGTACCATGACCATAATTCGGTTTTTCATCATCTACAACAATATTGGTTGTTACAGAAAAATATAATCAAAAAATTATATATTATGTACTCTACCCTCAACTGTAAATATGAATGATATCCCATCTTTTTCTTCGTTGTATGGTCGATTCAGTGTAACATCGAGTCTAAAGCTTTGACCTCGTCGAACTACAAGTTGTGGTTCATACTGACGATTCATCAATTCAAACTTTGAGGTGTGATGAGATACACCATTTAAGGTTAAACATGGATCTATTTTTCTTATTATTAATATATCGGAATCTTCTTTGGCGTCAATATATGGAAGACCGTCTGTTTCTTCTACAAAAAACAAATTTTAGCGACTAATGCTATTTTTTAGTCAAGTGCTATGACCTGACCTGACCTGACACTAGGGACCAAAATTTATAAATGGCAAGTACAACTATATTTCTTTGCAAAATACCAAATGTACTCAACTAGATCTATATGCCACATATATATTTTTATAATTTAGTCTATAATAATTCCTAATTAATGCTAGAGCTAAAAATTGGGGTGAGTATTTATGTTATTAAATTAAATTTAGGGTGTCATCTGAAATTTATCATTCATTTTAGCTTTTTTTATATAGAGGCTGCTGAAATTCGGAACACATACATATGTTATTGAGGAAAAAACATTGTAGTATTATTAGATACAGCACCTAAGTATAAAAAGACTAGTTTTAAAATTTAGTTTTTCAAATCAGAATGTTGCTGCGTTAGTTAAGGTAATTATATCTAAAAATGTAAGAATAAAACTTTTGTCATTCTTTAAACACTGTTTGCCAAAGTACATTTTTTTAATGATGGGTATTTTTAATGTTGTCAAAGAAAAGTTCAACAAGTAGTACGGTTCAAGACATGCTCTTACAGTACCGCGCGAACATTGTTTTTACGCAGATGTACTAATAAAATTTTATAGTCCCAAATTTAAACAATCTAAACCCATAATCCGAAAATCATACTCCTAGATTGACCGAAGCTTGGCAGTACGCCAATAATGAACAGGGGCAGATTTGTTTATTTTGTAATGAATTTCGCTGAATGAATCTCTAAGAAACAACTATTTTCCTAAATACAACTCTGAAATTTACCTAGCAGGCGTCGTTTGGGCAGAATCGACGCAGATCCCTACCGACAATGTCGTTTGACCATTGTTGACCTAAATGACACAACAAGGCCATACAATTTTATTAATACATAAAATGGTATTTTTAGAGTATTTAGTTATTAATTTTTTATGATTATACTTCAAATAAAGAAAACAAAAACAAAAAGCGTTTTATCAAAAAAAAAAAATACAATGAAAAACAGTGATCATTAGTAAATCAAGGCAAATCAATTGTACAACTTTTTTCTGCTCGTTGGCTACGCTTCATCACAAAAACTCAATTCTTGTAAGTGGCTCTGCTGGCACAAATAAATATCCTACTACTATGATACTTTTTGAGAATTGACATTTATTTAATTATTTTAAAATTAAATGACACTGTGCGTCTTGGGTGCATAAACGTGGTTAATATACTATTTTACACCAAAAAGTATCATTTTGAACAATTAAATTAAATTGTCCAAGGATTTTTCTAAAGCGTCCATTAAGGGAATTATAAATTTTGTGAGGAACTTTATCAACATTCTGTATGCTACTACATTGGTTTAAATAAATTAGAATTTATTAAAATTACAAAATTTCACAGGTATTGTTACATCTTTCATATTTAATACCTGATATTGAGAATGTTAAGTTCGGAAGTTTATGAATTATCTCCAAATTTTTTATGTTATTTTCAAAAATTTTCAGTATGAAAACATACTCAAATCGATTAATTATAATAATATTAATAATAATAATAATATTAATAATAACGCAGCTTTAGCTTCAGAACAATACATTGAAAGACAAATAAATATCTATACTACACAGGGCCGGATTTAACTAGTCTAATGCCCTAGGCACCAAAGAGTGGTGGTGCCCCCAACCCTCCCCAGGAATAAGGGAGTGTTTGCATAACGCCTTTAAACTTTATTAATTCTTTATTGAACAAGAATCTACCTTAATTTACAAGTTATACTTGTAAATATATAGTCTAAAGTCTAAAGTATTTATTATCTTATTAAATGATTCCAAGATTGCTAAAGTTGCACAGCATGAGCCTCCCAACGGGTGCCCGAAAGTGTCTTCAAAATATTGGCATTTTGAATAGCAGATTTCGTAAGATTCTACCCGCCTGTCGAAGCCGAAAAAAAATTATACACTGTTTGTATAACGGAAAAAAAATTAACAGCAATTTGACATTTTTTTTAAATTTGTGGCAATGTCAAAGGGCCTTTTTAAATTTATTAATAATTTATGAATTTTAATTTCATTTTAAACATAAAAAATTCTTCAATAAAAAATGAAATGCCGTTGACTTTTATGAAAATTACAAGAACTGAAAACTTACCTTTTCTAAATATGACTGACAACAATAACACTTACAGTACAAAGGTACTGAAATAAAAATCAAATTGTAATGCTACTGCACAAATTGCGAAGTGCCGAAAGCTTCTAATCTGCTACTGTACGATGCTGAAATATATTGTTTCTTAAATGACCTGTTTAGAAAATCTCCTATTTAAATTCTCACGAATTTCAGAAACTACTTTATAGTTTTTCACACGATTTGTACGGCAAACCCACCTTTGTTAACATAAGGATACGGGTTCTATAAGGTTCAGTATTCCGTACTGATTTGCTCGCAAACTGACCGCCTCTGCACATGTGATTTCCTGTGTCAGCAGCGGTGACCTACCACAAAGAATTACCCGAAAAAAAAAATAAAAATTTGTCGATGAGTACTAAGATAATAATAAAATGTTGCAATTTTTTATTTTAAATATACATTTCCAAAGGTTTTGGGGCCCCTCCAGCTTTGATGCCCTAGGCCAGTGCCTAGTGTGCCTTACTATAAATCCAAAGCTGAACTACACCAATCATATCTACATTTCTACTATTTTTTATTAATATATAACATGAAAATGAAATTGAGGATCGGCAAAGACGATCTACCAATATTATCGTCAGTAATATACCTGAATCACAGGCCGATACCCCTGAAGAAAAAAATAAAGATGATCTAAACAGCGTTATGAAACTCATTACAGACACTGTAAGCACAAATGAGATTGTCAAATGTTTCCGTATTGGAAAGCCTATGCAGTCAAAAATTCGTCTGTTAAAAGTAGTCTTCCTGACAGCTGAACATGCTCAAACTGTTTTAAGAAATTATAAATCATCACGAAATAACGTCTATGTCAATAGGGACTTAACTCAGCTTCACCAAAATAAAGCATATTCTGTACGGAAAGAGTTTAAAGATCGCATTACCAAAGGTGAAACAAACATTAAGTTAAAATATTACAATTTGGTACCTAAAATTATTACATTAAAAAAACAATAATTTTTCAACAGGAAGTTGCCAATAATAGTGCCACAAACTTGTTAAGATTTGATATAGTCTGTCAAAACGTTAGGGGTCTAAATACAAAGACTGATGAACTTTATCTAGCTGCAAGTGTAATTGATGTAGATTTAATTTTGTTAACGGAAACATGGTTAACGGATAAAGTCTTATCGTCTGAATTGTTTCCAAATAATTTTACTGTATTCCGTAATGATAGAGCTGAGGGTAGAGGAGGAGGAGTACTTACAGCGGTAGTCAATAGCTTTAAGACACGAGAAATTGAATTAGTATGTCCAATTAAGAAAATAAATGTATTGGGTATAAATATCTCAAAAAAATGATACATATCCATTTTTAATGTGTATATTCCACCTACATGTACTCATGCAGATTATTGTCAATTCTTGGATAATCTAGAATCTTCTATTGATTTAAAAAAACCGGTCTTAATATGTGGGGATTTTAATATACGAGTACCAGAGCTGAGGGACTGTGTTGTACAGCGTAGGACTTCTCAACTATTTAACATCTATAATGGGTTTTTGCAATTCTGTAATTTTCGTCAACATAACATAATCACGAATTCATATAATCGGCTTTTGGATTTAGTCCTGTCAAACGAACATACAAATGTGGAAGTAGTGAGAGAAGAGATGGCCTTACTGAAGGAAGACTCACACCATCCGTGCTTGAAAATCTACGTAGAAATGAAATGTATGAAAGAAACATCCTTTCAGGGTAACAACCGCATGAACAAACTTAATTATCGTAAAGCAGACTTTCAAAACTTGTATGCAGCAATAGCATCAGTCGATTGGTCCTCAATCCTATGTATTAAAGATCTTGATCAGGCTTGTGACCGCTTCTACAGTATCGTAAACCATACAATTGAGCAATATGTACCATTATGTTCCCATTCCAGTTTTCATAATAGTTACCCTGTATGGTTCACGAAAACCATTATAAGTAATATTCAGCTGAAGCGAAGGCACTGGAACCATTACAGCAAAACAAAATCACTTTTTGATTTGGATGTGATCAAAAGTTTGAAAAAAATCATAAAACGTGATGTCCGCATTGAATATTCAACTTTTGTGAAAAAGGCTGAAAATTCAGTGAAAAATGACCCAAAAAGTTTTTGGTCATTTGTTAATTCAAAAAGGAAGACTACCCGCATACCTGGTTATATGGTGTATGAGGACAAAGAGCTTTCCACGTCACAAGATATTGTGGATGCATTTGCATGTCAGTTTGCATCGGTTTTCAATGAAGATGCTGTATGTGACAAAAATTGTGATAACGCAAGCTATGGCTGTGACTTTTGTGATTCCATCCGGTGCCGTTCTCTTCGTTGTGATAAATTGATCTGTGATAATGTTAATATGTTTTACATAAGTTTGTAATAACTGAAGGTGATATTGTAAAGGCTGTGAAGAAATTTAAGGGAAATAATGTTAGCGGACCTGATATGATTCCAGCTTTTCTTGTTAAAGATTGCATTAACTGTTTTATAGTACCTTTATGTTATATATTTAATTTAGTTTTAAAATGTTCAATGTATCCTTGTGTTTGGAAAGTATCTAGAATATGTCCCGTGTTTAAGTGTGGAAACAAGATGAATATTAAAAACTATCGCCCTATTGCACTTCTATCAAATTTTGCAAAAATTTTTGAATCCATTGTATCAAATATAATTTATTCACATGTAAGCAATATGATAATACCTGAACAACACGGTTTTGTCAAGGGCAAATCAACAACATCCAATTTATTTGAATTTACAAATTTTATTTCGAAGTCTTTGGATCAAAGGAAACAGGTGGATGTTATTTATACTGATCTGTTAAAGGCTTTCGATAGAGTGAATCAGTGTATGTTAATGTCTAAGTTAAGAATTTATGGAATTTCTGATGAATTAATCATGTTATCGAAATCAGTAATTACTAATAGAGTGCAGTATGTGGAATACAATGGTCATAACTCGAAAAAGTTTAAGATTAGCCAGGGAGTTATACAAGGTTTAAATTTGGGACCTTTACTATTTGTTTTATTTTTTAATGATGTCCTCGAGAATCTTAATTGTAAAACCTTTATATATGCAGATGATGTAAAAATTGTAAGTGTTATAAATTCGATAGCAGATTGTTTTAATTTACAAGAGAGTTTGGATAGATTGCTATTATGGCGTGACAGGAACATGTTGGAAGTGAATATAAAAAAATGTAAAATAATGAAATCTGGGAGAATTCCAAATTTGCATGAATTTTATTATCATGTTAAAGGCACTCCCTTAGAGTTATGTAATCAAGTGTTATGATGGACTCGAAATTAACCTTTGTTCCGCACATAGAAAACATTAGTTGTTCTGCACTAAAAATGCTTGGATTTATTATACGAAATACATCTGATTTTCAAAATGTATCATGTATTAAACTCCTATTCTATAGTCTTGTGAGGTCCAAACTGGAATATTGTAGCATTATCTGGAGTCCATTTTATCAAATACATATTAATATTACACTAGAAAATATATTAAGAAAATTTTGTAAACACTTATATTTTAAAATGTTTGGACATTACCCAATACGGCATTATTAACAGCGTAAACTTATTTGGTCTGTTAATGAAAGTTCACTATAATGCTAGGCGAAATATTTCCAAATTGGTATTTTTACAAAAAGTCCTCAATGGACAGATCAACAGTCCGTTGCTCCTCAATGAGGTAAACTTGTTAGTTCCTAGGATAGGATCCAGATCATACAACACCTTTTTCTACAGAATTCCGAATACACATCATCACATCAACAGTCGACTGATTTCCAGCATAAGGTTGTATAACTGTCTTAGCTTAAATGAGGATATTTTCCAAATAAATTTTAATTCTCATACATTCAAGCTAGGAAAGAAAACAGAAACATATATACTGCTTTGATTGATTATAAGAAAGCTTATGATTCAGTCTAGCTTTCTTGCCTATGCAAAATTCTGGAATTATACAAACTGATCCTAAAATACGTGCTCTTCTCAAATATTCAATGCAATTTTGGAAAACAACTTAAATGATCAAACAATTCAATCAGATCCAATAATGATCACAAGAAGAATCTTTCAAGGTGATTCCCTCAGTCCGCTAGAGTTCTGTTTGGTAATAAATTCTTTTTCCCGCATCCTGAACAGCTACAAATATGGTTTCAATAGAAGAATTAACACCAAAACAGAATATAGACTAAGTCACTTGCTACATATGTAAATATATTATATGGATGATATAAAAATCAATTGACAGATCTAATAAATCTAACATAACAGTTTTCCAGTGACACTGGAATGAGATTTGATGTTGCGAAATGTAAGACTCAGCAATCAGAAGAGGTGTTCAACAACAAATATCGTATGTAACCCAGAATGATGAAATAATCGAAGCCTAAGAACGAAATGATACATACAAATATCTGGGCTTTCATCAGTCCTCCCACACTGGTCATCCCAAAACCAAAACAAAGCTCAAAGAACAATGTCTGGAAAGATTAAAATTAATTTTGAAGATACGGTCAAATGGAAAGAGTTTAATGAAAGCAGTAAATGTATTCTGTGTTCCACTACTAACATATAAATGATTCAAAAATGAAATTGTCAAAATACAAAAAGCTGTTTTGTTAGGAACATGTCGTATTGTTTATAAGTTTCTCGAACAATCTGTTAGCAATAGGTTAGCAACAGTAGGTCAGAGTAGTATAGGTCACTTTTCAAGTGATGCGGGGATAAATGATCAATAGTTACGATAGGCTTTTGAGGATGGAATGAGATAGAGAATAAAAGCAGACGAATTTGTATGCTGTAATTTTAGGATCTTGGAAGTTTGTTATTAATCTAACAAAAGCATGTCATTGTAACCGTAATGATGGAAGTCTTGTGTGAATGCCAGTCAATAACAATCTTTATTTCCAGTGAAATTATTATTTAAAAACATTTTTCGGCCTTTTTACGGAGAAATAAAAAAGAAATCAAACGCAGTTGAAACGATCGCTTATGTGATGAGATTCAGGTATCTACAAGGTAGATTTTAATGTATTTTCTGTACATTTTCATATCTGGAGATTCCGTTTAAAAATGAAAATATTACAAAGTACCTATGTATTACGTTTAAAAATGTTTGTATAGTTGGAACTTTAGAATTTGAGTTGTAACCGTTGGATAGGCAAATGCCCCCGATAACACATATAAGTTTAAAACACTTCACTGTTACATACCTAAGGGCAGTTAGCTAGATTCCATCAGCTTACTGGATAGGTATTTTTTAAAAGATTAAAGGGGTTTTAAGTTTTTTGGAATCTATGATACTCAAAAATTTTTACTTATCTAAATTTTACTTGAAATGTGCAGCGTGATACAATCTATCCTACGAAAAATAAAGTTTCTAAAATTAAATTTTACAATTTATATATTAATTTACATTCGGACTTCTTAGAAATGTTGTTAAAACACAAAAAATTACTTCAGTGCACATAATACCGGGTGACTATTAATGATTATGATTTTTTTGTTAAGTTAGCAATATATTTAAAATTTTATGAAACCATACCTGACTGTCAAAATGAAATTTGGGACACTAAGTTAAATTCTCATCATGTTTGTGCGTTATTAGGCATGTTCCTATCAAAATTGGCATGGTAACATTACTGCCAACAGTTTAGAATTACCAGAACAAAAATTTGCTTCAATCATGAATATTCAACCGGTACTAACTATATTTTTGTCAATGTCTCCATAACATTGACGACTTTGTCTATAAAAATTATTTATTACATCATTTCTTCTTGTAGGGTGGAAGTATCATTTCGTTCTTTTAAAAATTCTAGCACACATATTTCAAAACAAAATGTTTAATCGAATTATTGTATTAATTATCGCAATGATGTTCCTATAGTTTTCTAAAAATTCCATCAGGGCGCTAAATTTTTGCATTGTTTTTATCAAAATTAATATCTACATTTATCCTAAACCCAAAAGTCAACAATGTCTCAAAAACTGATTTTACAAATGTGTTAAAAAATATGCGTGAATGTGTTTGAGGTATTGATTATGCTTCAAAAACGACGAAAAAATATTTCGTAATGTTACAGATTCGAATGAAAAAAAAAACACAACGTAACTGAGGGGCAGAATTTTTTTTTATTGTCATATTATGGGACAAGGTGTGGTAAGCTGGAAGAATTACGCCAGCGATTATTTTATGTTATTTAATTTAAGAATAGGTCAAGTATTTAACCTTGACGTCCGACGAGACTCCAATGGAAAGTAAACCGCTTGACTCATAGTCATACATAACAAAACTGTCGGAAATCTTCATTCATTATTATCTGTAATATTTATTTAAAACGTACTTTAAAATTAGCATGATTGTTCATGCATACATGGAAATTCATGCCATTACTGCACTAAAAACATTTAGCATGTTTTCAAGCATGAGAGCATGTTTAAAAATATTGCAGCAACAGAATACTATGTGACATGCATCTAATCAGAAATGTTTACATAATTCTTTACGTTTTCACTAAAATACATCCTTTTGCAAGTTTTAAAAATACCATCTAGCCACTGACGAAAGCGTGCCATTGATGATGATGAACTTATAAAACACATTACTCATATTAACTAATTCTGGTTAACTCGTTCAATGATATAATTCACTCAATAAACAGATTGTATGCATGATAATGACGTAATTATTTTTCTGAATGCTACCTACTATGTGGTCGAGATTGACTCAATTACTACGTCTTTCTTCATTATGTGTGAATATCGCGATACGAGTAGTAAGATATTCGTTCTGTACAATTGACACTAAAATTAGAAACCTTGTTTGTTTTTTGCGGAATAAAAATACTGGAGCAGTGGATCACTTGTATTTTTACTATAGTCTGCAGCATCATTTTTATATGGAACTAGTAACGTAAGGAGGTTCACCTTGATGTTTTTCTCTCAATAAATGAGTGTTGTTCGAATTGTTTCCACCTGAATTGCGTTTGCAAAGTAGTTATTTTTTATGGTCGCGTATAGTTTCAAACGTAATACACAACAAATGTATTGTTTAAAGTAGGTAATGGAAATGGTTAAAGGCGAGTAAAAGATATATGTACTAGTTTTTAAATTTCATCAACACCTAATCAAATTTTATTATGTATGAATCCTAAGTAAATATTGTACATATATAGTGGTTTAAGGCTGTGTAACTAATAAAACATCAAACAATTAAATTTTCAGTTGTGTTTGAACATTATTTTCGCTTACTTTTTCAATGATTTAAGAGCACTGTAACTGTAAAAATATGACCTGCTAGATATTTACTAAAATCTTAACTACACCGAAGATTTCGAACTATTTTAAGTAATAAATTTGGAATAAAATAATACGTCATCTAAACAACCTTATTCATCAAAGCTTTCATATACTTCAAAAACAAGCCACTAAAACTCTTAACTAACGCTATTTTCAGCTTGTTGATTGTGTTTGCCCTCAATAACATCAAATTCCTACATTTCAGCAACTACGTAATAAGGTGATAAAGTCAAGTAAACAGCTTAATTTTAATTAGTTTTACAAAATTCTCTAAATTATAACTTGAAAACGCTTATGAGATTATGTTGCATAAAACACTACCATAATCGCACCTACCTGCTTCCTTGGGTTTTGGCAGTGGCTGTAGGGGTGTATCATGATTTGGGGTAAATTTTGCACGAAAACATGGAATGCATTTGCACCACTTCGAACACCGTACTTTTCCCATGTCACTTACTGTTACTTCGCTGTGACAAAGTTATGTGCACAAAATCTTGTATTTTTCGTTGTTGTAATACCATGTGCGCGGATTCAATCGGCACGACTTGGTAAGTTTAAATTCCAAACGTGAGCGCGAAGTGTTGGTCCATGTAAACATAGAGGGGATAGGTCATCCTGTTACCAGTTGTGATTCAGTTTAATGATTATAATTAACTCGTCACTAAAATGGTAAACTGCGGGATATGTGATTCAGATATAATTATTTAATAATAACAAAAAATGCTAATCTTTAGAAATTAATGAAATTTTTGTTAAACACATAATATAAATACACCATGATAACAACTTTACGCTTCATTCCAATTTTTTATTTTACTTTATTTTTGTGTAAGAATTTATTTTTAAAACTGAAAATTTATCTGAAACTGTTCTGAGTGCCAATGAAAAAAAAACAGACACAATGTGTTTCACTTAGCATAAAAATTTAGATACTCAGCAACAGAAACGGTTTTCATTTCTTGAAAATCAATAGGAATTACACGATACTATTTTTATAAATGCAAGTGACACCACTTAAAACATAAAACACTGTATATATATCACTATATCTTAGTTAAAGTAAACGCACTATTTCTTGTTGAGTTATTCTTTTCTCTCGCTCTTGTTAACATCAGTCTACACAATTTATTGCATGTTTAACCAAAATTCCACAAGTTTTTCCTGTTTCTTTACCGTCCCACCTAAAATTTACGCATTTCGTCATTTATAACCCTCAATATTTCCTATTATGTCTCCAGTTACTTAGCATTATTCGTGTAGACAAACACCTGATCTCTGATTTTTGTTATTCCGCCCAAGCATTCTTTTCGCCTTTCTGCATTTATACATATAGATCCAAACTTTGCTCTGTTATTAGATCTTTTTAATTTTGTTTTTTTGCCAGAATAATTATTATAAATATACATACATATGTACTTATTCTAATTATATACGTACAGAGTGCTGACAAAGAGAAACAAAAATTTTTAAATTACACTTTTTGATGTACACATTTATTGTTGTAATCAACGATTTTTGCACAGTTGCATCATCAACGATTTTTATTGCACCCCCAATTTTTTCAATTTTCGGATTCTGATATCTTTTTAGTAGTTAAATGTTATTAAAAAAGGTTGGTAGCCAACATTTGCATTTTTTTGGGGAAATTTTATGACATTTGAAAAACCAAAAATTAGATGTATTAATACAGTCTGAAATGAAATTCAACAACAAAACTACCATTAATCTTCAAAGTGCCATATATCAACCATTTGGCACAGACAAACACGTGTGGAAACGTTTTGTCATCGGATTGTTTGATTCATTAATGTAGACCTTAGATTTTAAATACTTCTGACTAGAGAGCGGATTTTATGAAATTTGCATATCCGTTATTTTTTGCATATAAGTCTTCATATTTAATATGTGAACGAATCATGCTAATTAAAAATGAATACAGCTACAAAAAAAATTGCATATTTGCATATATTTGCCTTCTGCTGCATATTTCACCGAACGGGTGCATATTTTGCATTTTTATCAATTTTTGTGCTAATTTAAAAAAAAAATATTGTCATTCTATCGGCATTTATCTAGAAAGACGAAATGTTATTAATCATATTGCAAATATTGTCCTGAGCTTCAAATAACTAGAAAAGGTTTGGGTTTTATGGTAGTTTGAAGACACCACTGGGTGTTAAGCTATCATTCCAGGTAAATTCGCGCCCTAATTACTTTTGGAAATATCGTTCATTCCCAATATTTTGTTCGTTAGTTAAGTGTATTAATGGTACGTTTAGTGGTGGTCGAAGGGACGTTATACTATTATTTTTCATCGTGAGTTTGTATTGAAAGCATTTAAAGGAATACAGGTGTATCAATATGTCGAAGATAACTCAAATTAATTTATGGATTAAACCTTTTCCTGAACTTCTTCAAGAACGAACTGTGTTTTGTCGCAGCTGCCCTAAACCGGTAAGTATTTTTACATCTGTGGACGTAGTACGCAGTTTTTCTATTTACAAATACATTTACTTTAGAATCACCGCAAAAACTTTTTAAAATATTTCGAAAAATATCTAAAAATAAATATTTACCAAAATAGTAATTAAATAGTGGATTACTACTATTTTTTAATTTGATCTGTTTATATTTACTTTTTAGTATAAGAATATTCTCTTTAAAAAGTGATTTATGTGTTAGTGAGATGTAATTAAACACTTTGCAATGCGATTTATGTATTTTTTGTAATAAAACGTAAGCTGGGGAAACCTGTTTTTGAATTTTATAAATAAATTTACTTCGCTTATTAAGCTTTTTTTTTAATTTTTGTTACTGCATATTTGCATAAATTTGATGCATATCATACGATCATATTTCTCAAAATTTTGCTGCATATTTTCCGCTCTCTACTTCTGACAAAATAAAAGATACAAAGCGCCGATCATTCAGATGGTCTACGTCACCCTATTCACCTTCCCTTGAAAATGGTATCAACAAACCCTCTCGCTTCCACGCCAAAATGCAGAGTGTTCCACCTTGTTGAAACCGAAACTTGTTGTTTGGTCTGGCACACCACTTTTTTCATGGTTTGGAAACATACGTAACTACTAGAGCTATTAACGTTTGTTCAAAAAAATAGGACCCCCACATTTATTTTGCTGCGATGCTTAGTATGAGATTCTTGTGTCCAGAGAAGGCTATTTCGCGCCGAGTATCGACAATTATGGCGATTTACTGTTCCGTTGAAAGTAAAAGTATAGAATATTTAGAAAGTTAACTATTCTACCACAACGTAACATCAATCTTCGCAAATCTCTAAGCGCAGGTCCAGATCATCTTCGTTTAAGTGTGCTTTGTACAGATTTTTTAGACACATACGGATTTTCCTCGATTTCCAGTAAAATATTTAATTTTGTGTTTTGTAGTAGGTACAGGAAGTCGACCTCGTCTAGGTAAATCTCGTACAAAACCATGATCTAAAAATTTGTTCTACTTACTGCAAATTAGTGCAGATCTAGCGATTATGAATGTATCAGAATGTTGTTGATTAAATAACGCATATGCTTCCCCATGACTTCTTAATCTGGTACCGTTCCCTACTATCATAAAAATTTCGATTTTCGCGCGTTTGGTTAAATGCACCATGATTGTAGGTTTCGGATTCCAAGAAACTTCTTTTTATGTTGTTACAACATAAATTTTTGTTCGGCAGATAAAAACAGTATTTTGATACAATGGCTTCAGTAATTTAGAATCCCTCATTTGTTTTCAATGTAATAGATAACAGATAATAATACAATTTTTCCCAAAAACTTGCTTATGTAAGGTACCAATTTTTTCTACAACCAATTAACTAATAAAAAGATGTGTCAGAATCCGAAAGAAGTTACCATTTAAAAACTGTTGATGACTTCACTATGGAAAAACAGTAGGTTTCAAAAAATAAAATTGATCTGTCCGAAGCTTTTTCAAGAAAACAACAACTAACGGAATTATTAATTTTGAGTGGAACTGTATCAACACTTATACTTTGTGTAATCCTCATTAAGCACCACAATTAAAACATATGTATATGAAAAACGTAGAAAATGTATATGTCTTAAGAATAAGTGCTCCCAGTAAGTGCTGTAAGTGTGTTTTGTTGCAATATGTCAGAATTAGGTACGCTCTGGCCCAGTGTCGGTGCGACACTTGTGTGGTTGGAAGTTTGGACCTTTTTGTCTTTGTCGGCGTTTTACGGCAAATCGACGTCCAGATGTCAAGACCTTTTTTTTTCTGATCTGCCAGAGATGCAAGACCAATTTAGTTTTTACATGTTATGTACATATATATACATAAAACTCTGTTAACCTGTAAGTCAGTCGCTAGTGTTTTTCCTTTTTCAAAAAAAATACTAATACTTATAATAGGTAATACCATATCGTAAGCACAATGCTTTAAAATCTCAAAATATCGCGTAGAAAAACAAAAAAAAAAGTTACAACATTATGCACGTAAAGTTTTGGTGAGATTTCTTTCTGCGATTTTGATTATTTTATAACAACAAAAAAATGAAACGAAAAACACATAGGTACTGGTTAATTTAATTTTGTTTCTACACTCTTTCCAAAGTGATGTTATTTGAACTTTCTGTATACAGCGTGTTATTGAAAGGTACGTACAAAATAAAATCGACAATTGGTCTCGAGGTATGGGTGCCAAAAGTTAAAAAAAGTTCAGGTAAAAGTGTTCTCCTTTTAGAGATAAAAATTATTACAATTTATGTCCAAATTTGTTGTACGCCTCTGATAAAAAGGTCATCTCTCGTTTCTATGCCAACATTTAGTCGTGAAAAAAGTTTTATTGTTAGAGTTGCTAGGATTTACTAAAATAAATTAATTTCACCTATTTATCCTTCAGTAGCGTCTAAAAAGGTTGGATAAGGGTCAATTTTCCCCTTATAATTTTGATAACACAAAATAAGATTTTCAGACTTCTTAGGTTTCGCGAAGAACTGTCAATTTTGTTGTACGTACCTTTCAATAACACCCTGTATTTGTCACAGTTGAAACACAAGCCTTTAAATATAATAATAACAGCTAATTAATCCATACAACTTAAAAAAATTTCAGGTTAAATATATACTGATGTTTTATTTCAGCTTCGATGAGAAATATTACGATGTTCGGTAATTGAAATGGGTGTGGGTAAAACTTAACAATTTATTTCTCAGTAGTACTAATTTACACGACTAACTCATTTACAGCGATTATGACTGACTGCCTGTTCCCGACGGTGGTCCGTGCGTTCTTCCAGAGAGTCTGGGATCGCCACCTTCAGGGTTGTTGTAGAGTTCGCCATCGAGACTTCTGCTAAACCGCTTCCACGCTTTCCTCTATTCGAACGCCGCCGTCACTGGTCATCGCCGTACATACTAGAAAACCCATAGGCATTATATCGGAGGGACGTATGTGTTTACTTCATAACAATCTGCATGTTTTGTATATCAATAAAACTGTATAATCTCTGAATGTTACTTTGGTCAACAATAGTCGAATAACTTCCCTCGTAAAGATCCTCGTCAATTTGTTACAAATGACGCGTGCAACTTTGAAATTTAGCTAAATCTCAGGATTCTGTTAGGAAGTGGTATATCACATAACCAACATGGAAAGTCAATAATATCGTGCGAATACGAATTTCGACGCACAAGGCGCAAGCCAAGTGCCGAAATCTCACGAGCAAATAATAGACACTTTCCAACGAGTTTTGTACACTATTTTTCCACGATTAACTACAAGCAATAAGACGATGATTTGATGTCTTTGATTTGGTGCCACAGTTCATGAATTGATCATGCGTTAGTACACTGCAACCATGAACCCCCTGCCAATGTCCATGTTATTTCGAATTTTCTAACAATGGACCAAAAAACTGTGCGACGTCTGATTTGTGGCAACTTTTGAAAGTTTTAAAATCTTATTATTATTTTGATGAACGTTTAATGTTACTATCAAATTTCGCTGTTAGTGAGCGTGACCCTCGCAAAAACCTTAGATAAGTTCATTACAAAGTAGGTCAGATGTTATTCTGTTATCATTTGTAAATAGTCAAATTTAAGTGGTGAAGCTGCAATTTCTGATTTTATAAACTGGTCGCTTAGGTTCTTTAACTGCTGACTAGCATGTAAGCACATTATTTTTATATACTAATAAAATTTTACAACTTAAAAGTGTTTTAGGCCAAATATTAATATTATATTGTTTTCCAAATTCTCGGTAAATGTTCATTTTAAACATTCGTGTGATGTAGCCGCATCTAATTTTTCTTTACGGAACAAAGTCCAGATAGGTAAATATTGCCAATATGTAATTATGACGTCACAACTAATTCCAGGAAAAATATGGTTTTAAATTTTTTTATATTTGGAGAATATAAAAGAAAAAAATTTATTCTTTAAGCCTTTATTAAAGTACGATAAATTGCTCATAATTCAAATTGTGTAATGTATTATTTTTATTTCACTATTTATGTTGATACAAGCATTACCCATGTTCTATGCATTAAAATATGACAATAAAAAAATAAATTTAAAAAACTTAAATATTATGAAATATTTAGTAACGCAGTCAACTCAAGTGTCTGCGATATAAATGTCTGTTTTCATGGTTCCAAAATTATATACTCCTAGTTTTTTATTTTATCCTCATTCTAATTTGCTTCTTAACTCATTACTTAATTACATTAAAATACTTGGTAAAGTATTATATCACTGCACTATGATTTTTCTTGAACCAGAAATTCCTTGTATTTGTTTAGAAGTAAAGTTAGCAACAATTAGCCTTTCTCCAGTTCTCTTCGCCTGGAAGGTTTCAGTTAAGTTGACGACTTCTTTAGGTTGAATGTCACCATATTTGATAGATTTAGGCCTTTGTAAACCAGGGCCTTCCAGTGTGTAACTACATTCAGTTAAAGGAACTGTCAAAGGATTCTGGAAACTACGAGATCGATAGCATGCAAATAAAATTCTAACTAAGTTTAGGACCCTACCTAAAGTTTACAACACAATCTTCTCCTTTTATACATGTATCAGCAGCTTGAATAACTATTTCAGGTTTAATTAATGTAAAATCATCTTCTTCGCTCCAAGTTTGTTTAGTTTCTTCTACAGTGGTGATAGCATAAATTTTAATTAAACCATGATCCACTAATTTATTTAAGTATTCCTCGGCGGTAACGCTCATTCGTATAACCTCTTTCTGACCAGGATTTACAGAAAATGTTCCCTGAGATTTTTTTATAGTCTCTGCAGAAACTCCAGTATAGTAAATCGAAGTTGCTGACATCACTGTGGTGATTTTGCGTGGTGCATCCGCTTTATTTTCAATATTAACAACTAATTCAAAACTTTCACCAAATGGAACAGCATCGATGTCGACCAAATCAAAGAACACATCTTCTTTTATGTTATCTGGGAAATCATATAAGTGCTGAGCCTTAGGTACACCTTTAACAGCATTATAAACTGATAAACGCTCAGCTTCAGAGCCTTCTGGATTCTTATAAAATGAAGTGACATTCCACATATCGGAATTTCCCTTTTCGTCAGTTACATCAATACGTTTGGTCAGAATTTTTCGTCCCACACTACAAGAGACGCGTATTAACAATATGTTACGAATACTGGTGGTATATTTACTGATATTTGTTTACAGAAAGTCGGGAGAAACCCCAGTCTGAATTTTCATCTTCTTTGAAATGCACAACATCAGCATTTACTTCAGAAAACACAAAAGGAGTATCGTATAAATACCCAACTACTCCTTTACGAACTGCTTCTACTGATGCAGGACCACACCTAAAGATTTTATCACTTTGTTCTTGAGGAGTAGCATCTATTATTTGCCATCCACCGTAACCATGTGGCAAATCGGGTCGTGTCATCCAAACATCATTCCATACATGAAAATTCCAGCACGTATCACTACAGTCACCTTCAGGACCATCATCAATCTTGTTCCCAAATAAATCAAAAAATCTAAAAGTAGGGACACCTGTAATATACGAATACTTGGCTACACAATATATTTTAACTTACTTATCAACAGTTAAAGAACAGTTAGTATCATGGGCAGAAACGTAATTAGTAACTGATCGACAAGGAATTCCTAGTGCTCGACATACAGTAACTGTAGCTGCAGAGAAAACCCAGCACTGACCATACTTTACTGGAGATCCGTTAGTTCTTAGGTACTGATCCAATATCGCTATTGATCCCGTCCAAGCATGAGGTGAAATACCATCACTGTAGTCGCCATCCCATTTACCTTCAAGTAGTCCTCCGTCGTCCACCGAATTAATCTAAAATACTGCATAAGTAAACACATTTCCAAAATTTAAGGTGCACACTTTTTTGTAAAAGAAATGAATATCAAAAATATACTAATTCACAAATTATATCGAAAAGACATCTTGTGTCAATAATATTTAACTAGTACAAGACTGCTTTAAAATAAATTTTTCAATAAACTTTTGAAAAACATTTACACAGATTGCCAGACAAGTCATATTGAATCTGCTATATTAATGAGGTCAAATAAAACGAAAATTGGAGTCTACAGCTTTCCAAAACTATGAACGTAGAATATTCAACCATAAAAAAGAATTTCTGCGTTATAACAACAAAAATTCCTTATAAGTTCCCAAATGAGCCTTCATATTGTTGTCTCACTACCTGTTATAAACAAAATCGGATACCGTCATTGGGGCCTACTTCGGACATGCTGGGTAATTTCGAACAAGAAGTAGAGAATTGTAAAAAAATTAACCCCTCCTAAGTGTTAAAGCTGTTTTCTTAGTTGCGGGTATTATGTGTTGCCTACATAACTAAAGTTTATTATAGTGTGAAAAAAAGCGCGGTATAGATAAGTTTTTTCAAATTATTGACGTTATATTAAAACAATAAAAAATTGAGTTTAACCGATATCGAAAAAGTAATTGCTGTATTATGTTTTGCATGAATAAAACTAACAATCATCATCTACCATTAGTTTAAAGCTTGTTCTATACATAACGTCATTCTTGTTGAAAACAACCAAGAAAGTTTGAATATACAGGGTGTTTATTCAAAAGTCTGTCTTTGTAGGTGTAACTTCGGACAATGGTGCGGAGCTACAGAAAACAGTTGGGAAGTCACAATTACTGCAATTATTCTGCAGAAACACAAAAAAATGGTCTAAAGTTATTTAGGCAATACTTCTCTCGTCTCTAAAGTACAATTGAACAAATACAGCTTCTTCGAAAAATAAGAAACTTTAATTTTGGGAATTCTGAAAATATATACTAAATTTTACAACTTAAATCAAAGAACCGAACCCGCAAATTTCTAAAATTATCAATTACATCGGTAGGACCATCTGCTTGAGACAAAGAGAGGACCATATTTGTAACCAACGAAACCTCATCGCAGCAGCTATACTCAGTAATTTCTATAACAAATTTAGTTGGAAAAAATCAGACCATTTTGTTATTAATAAAACCCGTAATCCAGCAATTAAGCAAATTATTTAGTAGTTTTGTCTGTTGCTGGAGTCGAATATTTAATTGTATTTAATTGTTGACTAAATACCACTACTCTGCGACAGAATCCGTCCTTTCATGCAACTTCTGCAGGCACGTGACGCCATTTATAGGTTTACAAGAATCCTAATGTGAAAGATGGGCTCGGCATTGTCAACCAAATAATCCTAATTATGCCATAAATTTTTACTAGTATACAGTTTCGGTCATAAGTTCTTTGACATCAAATATCTGTCAATACCAAAAGTTGTAAAAACATTACATGTTTACTCATGTTGGTAAGGATAAATGCACCATATTTGAAAAACTTGAAACAAATGAAATTAGAATTACTTAATACTACACGTATGTGGAAGTGACGGACGTGTCTTGAGGATTCAGTTTTAAATTCAAATCGCGACAAAATAAAAATAAACTAATACTTAATCACCTCTGCCAAGTGAGTAGTAGAACGACACGTAGAAATTAACTTACGCTTACGCAATAACGTAACATGAAATTATTCAAGCACAACTGAAACGTTCAGCGTTGAGCTCAAGATTTTTCAATGTATTTTGACGGTAAACAACAGTGCTGGTGGTTTTCTGATTTTAACACAATCTTTAAATGAAATTTCTCATGAAAAATTTTAAAGAACTGTTCCAAGGCCAAATATTTTTAGATTTCAAATACTTCAACTGAAAGTCAGTTGGGTTCAAGAAAAAATTTACATTGATGAATTTTTAAATTTTCACATATATAGAATTCGCCAAATTTCGAGACATTCAAGTTTACATATGAGCAGCATTCAATATTGCCTTACAGTCTCTAGCACAGTGTGCTAATTACAGCAGTAGCAATGTTTCTTATTGACGTTTCATTTACAGCACTGTTTACAGTAGAAATGTCACTAGGCAGTGTAGGCAGAACTATTTGAAACACAAATACAAATTTACTGGAGGGACATCATAATACTGTTACTGAAGGAAAATCAAGTCATTTACTGATTCTTCATTTAAACAAAAATGTTTGTGTTTTCTCTAAATGTGTGTAATCTATTCACAGTCCACAGTTAAAATACGTTTTCTTTTTTTGACATCCTGTAGAGTTTTCGACTAATCCACGATATCGACATAAAAAATTATAAAGAATACTATAAATTTTGTGATTTTTTAGTCACAGTTAACGCCATATAAAAGAAACGAAACAAAAGTGAAATAGCTTATTTAGATAAAAGTAAAGTACGATTTAAAAAAAAAACATTGCCACAGAAAGTAAAAAAAAACGCACATTTTGATGTTATGTCAGGGTTTAGGGCAGTTAACAGCGAGAAAAAATGGTACAAGTTGTCAAGTTTGTTTAAAGCGAACTTCCCTGGTCCTGAAGTACAGTGTGCAACATATCCAGCTTCTTCGAAAAATTCTAAAATTTGATTTTGCAGCTTTTTAATATGAGATAAAATAAAAATATGTGTTTAGTGTTAATATAAATGTAAAGCATACGTCAAGACATTGTTGGTGGCGTAACAAAAATTTCGGTTTGCGGTTTACATATACATAAAATATCGTGTAAGAATACCTAACATACTCGTACATATAAAATTTGGCAACAATTGGTTTGAGAGATTAATTATCTGTCTAGGGGCAATGAAACATAGAGAAAACATGAAAGTATCCATTCTCCCGATAGACCTATTATACTTCCTTAGCTTATGCTTGGCAAGTAAAAAAAAAATGATAAAAATGTTGGTACCTACACAAAAGTTTTAAACGAACATGAACTTCTCACAAATGATCACATTTATTATAAAATGTTCTTAATTTTGTCAAGAGGTTCAAAGAAAAGTTAAAGGAACTGTTTGGATCAAAAAGTTTCAGTTTTTACTGTAGCACAGGAGAATAGCTACATCTCCGTTGTAAGGAAATTTAAGTGTTTGATATTCAACTTCCTTAGGAAGGATGAAAGACAAAAGACATGCACTTTGCTTATTCACTGAGGTAAATTTCGTATTAATTCTAAGACTGAATTGAATTATCAGTATCATATAGTGGTTTCGGTTTAGACTGCACTTCATTTTATCCAGGACCTCATAAAAGCAACGCAAAAAATATCCGATAAACAAAAAACGCAGCATTTCCATTTATTTAAAAGGCATCGAAAGCACAAATCGAACAAGCTGCTGTTATTATATTTTCTATATGAAAGTGACGTTAAGGTCATTGATGATAGTGAGACTCGTTTCTGTGGTTATGTGTGTAAATAATATAATGAAAGAATTGAACTAATCCGTAAATATTTCTTTAAAAAACACGTTTATGGTAACATATTACAAACATTCCACATAAGAAAATTACCAATAAAAGAGCATTTTCATTTTCTGCTCTTTTTCATAAAACGGTATTAATTTCAAATTGATTAATAATGCTTTTATCTAATCATTCACGTCTTGTTATCATGTAGCAGTATATAATTTATAATTTTTTTCATAATTAAGCGCAAAAAAGCGCGAAATACAAAGCGAAAAATATTTTTTTCTTCTAAAACTAAACTACAAAGATTTTTAAACACATTACACAGAAAATTAAAAAAAAAACATATCTAGATGTGCCTTATGTATTGTTTAATTTAAAAACGAGAAAAAAGTTTAGGACGCAGTTCAATTATTTTCCGCGTCTGTTGAATCAAAAATTATAAATCATACATTGATCAATCAACAATATTCCAAATACAGCAACATTTGTTAAAAAAAAGTGCGTGAAAACTCCTACAGGTGGTATAAAGTTATACATACCACAGCGGAAATAGCCCTGGCTACTAAAACCGGTGATCCTCGATCGGCAGGAGCTAGTCCGGATTTATCCAGTAAAAGAATCGCTGCAGGTAAAGCTATATCATCAAACTGACCAAATATCCATTGCCTTCCAATGGGTTTTTTGAAAGTGCCACACCAAATTTTTCCGTTTTCGTTTAAAATGTATTCTTTTTTCTCGTCTTCACTATCCATATACACACCATCGTCTTTACACCATGGATTAAATAAAATATAGATGTCATCTTCTGCCTACGTGATTGAGTTAGTTTAGTGGAAAAGATACATCATTACAAACTTGCTTTGTAGTCATAACGTGCATCACGACGACCACAAATATTAGTTTGGATGGAACATTTCCAAATTCCTACTTGAGCGCTGCAAGGTATATGAACTTGCAAAACTATTGTACTTCCTTCTATCCTGTTAACACAAAGTGACCATCTGTTTGTATCTTTTGGCAGCACTTTTTGTCGAGCTAATAAGGGCAAAATTATTCTTGTTCCTTTTATCGCACTGGGTTTGGGTCCTACAATTTAAACGAAATGTTTTTCTACATATAAAACTTTCCACATTTGAATAAAGCGATTATGGTATTCTGTAACTTCAATTTATTCTAATTTCAGTTATTTTGTTGGTTAATGTTTAATTCAATACACACAAACAAAAACACTTTAAAAAATTAAATTATTCTAAACACATTACGACCTTCATCCGTTGCTGAAAATCGCATCTAATTAAATATGTTTAGGATAATCATAACATAAACAACATAAATCTTGAGCGAAGACTTTTGACTACAGCAATTATCATGCGGAACTTACCAAAGCCGAACCTAACTCGTACTGCATCATTTAGTTCATCAAAATCTCTGTTGAACCTTATCGCAAAGAAAAAATTGCATCCTCTTCGGAAAATAGGTGTTGGAAATTCCGGACTGTTCACTAAATCATATTCTTCGGTATGGCTTTCAGTTGAATTATTCTTAGGATAAAATTCTGTCAACTGCACTTCTATAGGCTCCATACTTCTTGAGGATCAGCGTGTGACTGAACTTCGTGATATGTTTTGGCCAAAGATATTTTTATTTAGCCGATGCCTTGGCAGATATCCTGCTGATGTTGTCATTTGTTATTAGAGTATAAAATTTCTGTGTTTTATAAGACATGTATAATTATCAAATGTATTGTAAACGAAATATTTATAGATGTTTTTGTTGTGCCAAATTAATTTAGGTTTATGCAGAACTAATTAAGAGAAAAACTTGTTTTACGACAGTCTTGATAATAAATTTTTCTATTTATAACAGCATTGGTCAAAACATTAAAAAAAACCTGGAATATACGTCGAATATAAAGCGTTGTGCTACTGGGACTAGATCCACCAGATCTCGGGTAAATATTATCAATAATAGTAATAATCAAGGGATTAAATAAAAAAAATATAAAAAGGATTTACTATAAAATACAAAAGCTGTAGCAATTACAGAAAGAAATCCTATTATAATGTTGCAATATTTTAACAACAATTCATTGTTTTTTCATCTTTTTTATGATGATGTGGTTAAGGCTTAATTGAAGCACGCTGCCAGTATTTATTTTTAATAAATTAGATGTACCTATAATTGAATTAGATTTTTTTCATTTCAGCGCTCTAAGAAGATCCTTTGTTGATTTTTGTTATATTAGCATTAATCATTAACATAAATAAATAAATTTTATTTTGTACTAGTTGTTAACAGTAGGTCGTTTAACCTTAATTTTGGTAGATAAACAAGTCTTTTATATACCTACCGGTATATAAAGAAGTCTTTTATCTACTGTTTATTACGTTGTTTGTTACAAAATGAAACCAAATAAACAAAGTGAAACTAAGACACCACATATATTTGATCTATGGCCAACGCGTTTGCGTTCCAGGAAGACGTATTGAAAATAATTCGTACGGTCACATTAGAATAGTTTTGAAGATTTCGTTAAAATCTGGTACAAAATAAAACAAAACATTATATTTGACAATAAAGAATCTTTGTACACTTGTGAAAAATAGTCCACTCGTAACTTTTCACTCGCACTCGTAGATAAAGATTCTCTTTATCGTCTTGTATAGTAAATAACTATTTACCCATGCCTACAGTTTGTAGACAATATAGATTCCTCATAACAAGAATATTTTTTGACTTTATTCGAATTTTTTTTTTGCGTTCAGCAGGAAACAACCTTAGCAATGTTGAACTGATTTATGGCATTTACTAAGTTCTTCTCAAAGGGAAACGCAAAATACGATTGTAAAATGATGAGAATTTGTATTTTACAAAATTTGCTCTATTATTTAATATGTTTGTGTCTAAATTTGGACCCAATTTTTAAACAAATGTTAAAAACTTTATAGATGTTATTAAAAAGCAAACACACATTTTCTTGCTTGGTTTGTCAAACTGAATATAATTTATAATATACTTTCATTCATGCAAAATTTGTCTGTCAAATAAACTCAGATTCAGTATTTAATTCTGATTTTGGAAGTTACACACACATTATAAGTATAGGCAAAATATTGAAAAATGGTTTTGCTTCTTTTCGTCTGACAGTCGCAAGAGCAGCTCTTGCGGAATTATCACTGGATTTTGAAAATAGAATATCTTTGACATGAAAAATATTTGAAATTTATGGTATGCACTAGTCACGATTTGAGCACAGATTGCATTATTTTGAGAGCTCAGCTAATAACCGACTTTAAAGTGGTTATATATGTATACTTATAATGGTTAGAAAGTTTAAAACCATCATATTAATTTAAATATTAAAGCCAATGGTTTTTAACCTACTTTGTGCAGCCTTGTAATTACACATTTTAAAAAACCACATAAATAAACAGTATCGGTCACTAGTAGCAAAGACCACTTTTTACGCTGTTATAGAGAAATAATTCATCAATGAATGTTTGTGGAAATAAAATACGTGAACAGAAACCACATATGAGAAGGTTAACCGCAATTTGGTTCATGTAAGATAAATCATACTGTTTTGTCATTTTTATTTACGTATAGTTTTCTTAAAACAATAATTAAAAAATTCCACGGACAAGTTCACAAAATTATAATATTACCTAAGAAATTAATGGATGACATTTACCAAGATACTTATTTAGTTTATTTTTATCTCCATACTATTTTTACAGTTTCGTTATTACTTATTGCTAATTTTCTATAAAACATCACGTATACCCATAATTATAATGGAGAAAAAGTAGTTTATCTCAACCGATAAACAATAATATTAATTATTACATTTCGTTGTAAATTACTTTTTGCAAATGGAATTGTTTTATCAGCTATTTTTTAATTTTGTAAAACATTCTTTCTTCTGTCGTAGCAAATAAATTTTTAAACTAGATAGTTTCGAAAACGTAGTCGGCTTTATTTAAGAAAGATTAATTATTTTTATAAACTAAACTTTTCATTTTCATATAATAAGCATCAACACTTCCTTGATGAAAAAATTGTGATTATAATTGTGCTTACCTGTTACTTCTAACGTAGTTAGTATTAAACTGTTATAGGTATCAAATACAAAAAGTACCGATGTATTTATTAGTCATCGTTCATCACATGAGAAAATACTAACTTTGTCTTGAAGCAGACATGGATTTATATACTATACGCTCGTAGCAAATGAGTAAATTCCCCCCCGGCAAATCAACCCAATGACAATTTACAAAGTAGCTATCCACATAAAATCTCAACTACTGTTTTACTCTTTGAATAAATTTAAAATTCATGAATTAAAATAGCAAATTCGTCTTAAACTCCAAATGTTGTAGAAGGTCTTAAATCTTTAAACCATAAATCTTGTTGTCATGTACCCACAGTTGAGATCATTGTTGCAAATCTGCATCAAATTTTATACTACTTCTTTTCTTTTAGATGCACTTTATTCAGGATTCTTGTTTCAAGGTAAAAGGTGGAACATAAATGAATTTGTTAAGAATTAATAATTTGTCCTTAATTTAAAATGCACACAAAAAGACAATCCAAAATTTTATAATTAAAATGTGGTTATATAAGAATGTGCTTGTGTAACTCGTTCATGAAACTTATGTAACGCTTTCCAATGATTTTTGATTTTTCATTCTCTTATTTCTACTTTGTGTATTATTTACGTACTGCACCGTTTAATTTCTGAAAACCTTATTAAATTTAAAACAAATTTTGTATACTGAATATTTTTAAAAATTTCGTGCGAGATAATAATAATTGGTGTTACAAAAATTCTGCATGCTAAACTCAACAGCAATTTTAGCCCTTAACTAATTGCGTCTATCTCGTATCTCTCACTGTGTAGTTTACTGAACTGTTAAAATTAACGTAGAAACTTTTTATTATGTTCTTAGTGAAAAAATATATGTTTAAAACTTTCTCTAAACAAAACAGCAAGCTCCAAAACTTAAAGAGCGCAAAGCAGGTTCTGATCTTTATGTGCAGTAACGTATTCCTTCTTATTTTATAGCAGTTTATGTATAATGTATAATACATATTTAAAATTCAAAATATAAAAACGTAAAGTAAAATAATTCAAATAGGTACAACGATTCAACTCATTGTATCATCAAAAAGTTCTTGTACTTTTAAAAATGTGGTGTATACTTTAAACAGAAATCCTTGCTACAAATGTGACAGCATTGACCTACATAAATCATAAAATCTGAAATTTTCACTTACAGGAAAAACCAAAGAACGTAATTTGCAAGTGTGTCAATATCAGGTCACAATTAATATGTGGGACGACAATATCCACTCATTAATCATATAAACTTACTGATGTCTCATACGTCCGCAAAACATTTAACGATATTCCTATAATAGTGCATATGCAAATATAGGATGTATAAGCTCTACTACAACTGCGTAAAATTCTCAGAAGATTGGTTGCAAAATTTATCATAATGAATAAGTAATAAACGTAAGGAGTTTAACAAATGCTTCAGACGTGATGCAATTTAATAAACAGAATTCGGTTTGTTGAATTGTATTACAAATGTTATGGAATGTATTTACATGTTTAACTGCAGTAAAATAGTAAATGTACTGATAATAATTCGTAGTGTCCTACTAAAAAAATATATAATAATAATTCAAAAATCGATTAACAAAATTATAAAATTATACAGGATAGTAAATTTTTTCGTCTCACTGTTGCGATCTCAAAAACTGTAAGACTCGAAACCGTTAATTACAAAAATTGATGTTAATATGATTGATAATAAATGATAAAGTAGTATAAATACTATTCCTATTTTTTGTTTGTATTTTGAAGAAAGTACAATGTGTTTGATAACCACCGGTCATAAGTACTGTTACGGTTCGAAAATAAGGGGTTGCCTAGATAACAGCGAGTCAGGCGCAAGTGAGAGACTGCGGTGAACGAGTGGCATTTTGAGCAGGGAAAGCGCGATTGGTCGCCTAATCGGGAATTTCCGCAACTCATCCGACGAGATCGCGTTTAAACAGAATCTAGTAACGGTCGGCAGCGGACGCAAAAAGTACGGGGTTGTAACTTTTGGGGGAGCGACAGCCCGGAAAAGTTACCGGGGGTGCGAGTGAGTGTAAGAGAGAACCGTAAGTAAGTCACCCTTGCGAGATCCCGTATAAACCAGGTTTTCCTTTGCACAGAGACAGCCAAGTTTTCGATTTCTTTTCTGTTTTTTTTGTCTACAACTTTTTCCTCTTCGACATGGCGTTACTAGTTTCTTTTGGGAAGAAGAACGAAAAACCTTTGGGGAGACCGTAAGAATTCCGCAGGCCTCCACACCTCCCGACTCGTCCCACTGAGCCGACAAAGGGAGCGTCACGAAAACGAGAGGAACCGCCGTGCCAGATTTTTCCCCCCCACGAATCCTCCCGCAGGACTTGCCTACAAAGGAGGGAGGAAGCAACTTGTATGGTGGTAATTCGTATCAAAAAGGGCGCTGTGTGCGACCCACTGTGTACATGTTAAGCTAAGGTGCTAAGGTGTAATTTGGTAATTAATCTGTGATTTGAAGGGCGCTGTGTCGCGTCCAGTGTATTCCTTGTCTCATTAGAAATAAGTAAGTTAACCGTCTTTTTTGTATACCCCATCTCCACCAGCGCATAGGTCGGTCGGCACAAAAGGTGTCGTAACATTTTGGGGGCTCAGCCGGGATCTAGGAAAATCCGACCTAACGTGGAGCTGGAGGAGATAGGGTCGGGTATCTGTTGTTGTACTTGGTAGTGATTTACTTGTGGTTATAGTATGGAGGGGAAATCTGGAACGTGAGGATCGATCTCTAGCGGTGAAGACGAGGCGGGAGCTGGAGAGACCTGAGAGGTAGGAGCGACGTAATAGATTGAGGAACCAGGGCGACTATCGGGGAGAGAAGGAGAGGCGAAAACTTGGCTGAGGTTGGAAAAAATTGTTTTGTTGGTAAGATGGATAATGATAGCGTAATGGTGGAATACCTGGAGAGGGACGAGATTATTTATGAGCTACAGCTCAGGGGGGCAATAGCGAGCGATCTAGACTCGACGGACGAGTTGTGTGAGTTCCTGAGGGAGCGGATGATTGTAGAGAGACAAGGGGTAGAGTTAGAGGAATGTGGGCAGCGTGAATGTGGTAGAGAGTTGCAGACGTGTAGCCTCAAGGAGCACTGGTTGAGGCAATTACTCCGGGAAGCCAGGTTAACGAACGACTTGATTAACCGTGTCGAGGCGCTTTTGTGGCACTTATCCGGCCGGGTTCAGCGGATTTCGGCCCTAACGGAGGGACAACAAGGTGACAGGGCCGAGTTGCAACTACGATTAAGGGAGAGCAAGCGGTGGTACCGGGAACGGTTACGGTTGGGCGCGGTACAGGGAGTACAACGGCCAGAGTCAAGCGATAGCGGGGAGAGAGCACGAGCGGTGGGAGAAAACCCGGACGCAATACCGATCTCCAAGTGGGGATTCGCCTTCTCAGGGAAGGAAACCGAACCCGTGGCGGTTTTAAAATTCCTCAAACGAGTGGAGGAGGGTCGATCGGTGAACGGGATCGATGAGGAGAGAATGCGGAGGGGGTTTGCTCAATTGCTGGAGCCGCCGGCTCTGACATGGTATCGAGAGTGCGTGAGGTACAGTGTAAGTGAGAGAGAGTGTCTGAGCGTGATCTATGCCATCGAGAAGCTCCGCGGATACCTGGAGGGCGCGACATTTAAAGTGATCACGGATCACTACAGTCTCTTGTGGTTAAATAACCTGAAGGACCCGCAGGGAAGGCTAGGCCGGTGGGTGTTGCGACTTCAAGCCTATGACTTCCAGATCGAACATCGTAGGGGTAAGGAAAATGTCGTCGCGGATTGTTTATCAAGGGCAGTTCCACAGATAAACGTGTTGGAGATAGCAGACGGGGCGCGGATTGGGGACAGATGGTATAGACGAATGTGTGAGAGGGTGAGAGGGAATCCGTTGGGATATGAAGGGTGGAGAGTGGATGGAGAGCGGTTATATAGACGTGGCCGAGGTGAAGACGAAATGGCGTGGAAGCAGGTGGTGCCGCGGGAGCACCGGCGGGACTTGCTGGCGGAGTATCATGACGACCCAAGAAGGGGTGGGCATATGGGAATTTATAAAACGTATCACCGACTGTTGTCACGTTTTTATTGGCCGCGAATGAAAGCCGACGTGGCACACTATGTAGCGAGATGTCGTACGTGTAACGAGGTGAAGCCGGAACGGAAACGACCGGCTGGCATTATGGGCACCAGGCCTCGTATAACAAAATGTTGGCAGCTCATCAGCAGCGACATCTTCGGACCTCTGCCCAAGAGTAACGCGGGCCACGAGTATGTGCTGGTGATAACGGATTATTTTAGTAAATTTTCCATCTTCGTCCCTATGCGAACCGTCACCGCCGTGAAGGTTATCCGCGAGATCGAGGAACGAGTATTTCTGGTGTTCGGAGTTCCAGAGTTCATGATAGTCGACAACGGGGTACAATTTGGACGAAGCCGAGCCTTCCGGGACTTTTTGCAGGGCTACGGGGTGCGTCCATACTACAACGCTTTATACACGCCCCAAAATAACCCAACCGAGAGGGTGAACGGAACCATGAAAACCGCCATCATGGCCTACGTGGGTCAAGATCAACGGACGTGGGACGTAAACCTGGCGAAGGTAGCGTGCGCGATCCGGACCGCAAAACATGAGAGCACTCGGTATACCCCGTACTATATAAACTTTGGACGCGAGATGGTAGATGACGGACGGGAATATGAGAGAGCTAGACATGAGAGAGAGGTGCAGGAAATGTCGGGGAGTGACCGAGAGGTAGAGGACGAGGAGGCCGAGCGAGAACCGGAGCTTGTCGGTGAGCTCCGGCGGGTTCATGCGAAGGTGCGGGAAATGCTGGATCGAGCTTACGCGCGAGCCAAGAGGCAGTACGACGGACGACGGAGAGATGTAAGCTACGAGGTAGGGGATTATGTGTGGAAGCGGGAATTCCCGACGTCCGATACCCGGAAGCATTTCTCGGCAAAAATCGCGAAACGGTACTCGGGGCCCTATCGAGTAAGTCAGAAGGTGGGCACGAACGTGTATGAGTTAGAGGGTGCCGACGGAGAGAATCTGGGGAGATGGCA